TGAAGCTTGGAAACAGCTCAGTTGCCCATTGACTGGAAACTGGATAAAGAAGATGTGGGGTTTTTTTATAAAATGGAGTACTACTCAGCCATAAAGAATGAGAAACTAGACACATTTATAGCTAAATGGATGCATATTGAGGCCATCCTCTTAAGTGAAATAAATAGGACACACATGTGTAAATACTGAATAGTGCCTCTAGTGTGAGAAACTGAGAGTGTAAATAAGGATGAAAATGATTAAAATGAATAATTAGTAATTTGAAATAGGAAAAGGTCCAAAGGTGTAGGGGTGGTGGGAGGGGAAGGGGAAAGGGAAGAAGGGAAAGGAAAGATCATGAGAAAGAAAAAAAATGGAAACAAAGTCTATGTAAATAGGGGAGGGTGGAGGGGGTGAAGGGCACACAGGAAATGGGGGAAAAATAAGAACTAAGCTACAGTATGTTCAGGTACAAGTACCCAGTGATAAATGTAAATGTATTGTATACCCTAAATGTACCAATAAAGATAATATATAAAAAATAAATAAATAAATAAATTTCAGTCCATTGGCACTGATTGCTTCAAGTGATAGCCTCAAATAGAATGTCAAGGAGTAGAGGGCAGATGAAAGGTTGGGTGGAGATTAACAAGGTAAATCAGGGTACCTTTACACCTTGAATGTAGTATGGTTTTGGTATGAAAGAGTGAAAATGTGAACTCTAACCTAAAATTCAGTATTTTATAGCATGGTAGAAGAATCTCGATAGGTTCTTCATTCCCTACAGAAATTTGTCACCTTGTATATTACAAAGAAGTTGGAAAACTAAAATGGACCATGAAGAAATTTAGGAGGGCATAGCTTTGACTTTATAGTGGATTCACATCTTCTGCATGTAGTCCAAGGCCCGTAGTTTGATAATAACAATAATATTCCTGAAATAAATACCAGAATTAATATGTTCTAAAGTCATGGTTTGGTATTGCACCTCCAGGATTGTAAAAATATTGAACTAATTTGGAATTCTATTTTATTTCTTCCCTGTTATGTGACAATATTGTATTTAAAAGCTCACAGAGACAAATGATGAAAATATATCACTGGGTGTGTATTAGCATATCGAAGTATTAACTTTAAAAAAGTAGATTAAAAACTTTTATGCTTCAAATTGAAATCTCCTGGACTGTTTAGAGTCTGGGGACAAAATCCAAAGTTAGATTAAATAGTGATCATAAATATTTCAAAATTAAAAAGATTGCATTAGTCATATTTTTAAATCTGAAGCTATGTGTATTTCTTTGTACAAACATCATGCCTACCGTATTTAGGTATTTTAACAAAATAGTATTCAAATACAGTCAAAGAGGGAGATAAACTTTTTTTTATATTCCCTTTTCAAACCACGTGTCTAGGACAAGTGCTTGTTCATAGGGTGATAGACCTGCAGCATAGAAACATTTGTAAACATACAAAACCATAATGTCCAACCAGAATTCATTACAAACCTTGGTGAAATTTACTAAAAACTTCATCAATTAAAATAGACAAGTAATTTAACCCGTTAAATATGCAGCACAATTATCCAGCCTTATTATTGAAGTAAATTAAATACTCTATGACAGTAGGAGTGAAGAGAGCAGAATTGCAGGGGGGATAAGTTCTAGTAGCTATCAGGAGAAATATACAAATCAAAGCATCAGGTCATTATGAAAGATTATGGCATCTATATCTGAAGAAAAAGCTTTAAGAAGAAATATTAGTAGACATCAATCTAGAGACAGGTCTACATTTCTCAATGTTTTTCCAACCTAGAAATTCTATAATCATAGAATTTTTAAAAAGAATATGCTGAAAAATATATTTTAGTGTAACATTATGGCCATACATAGACACTGAACTTTTAATATGGAGGGCCGGGGATTTAGCTCAGTGGTTCTGGTGCCTGCCTTGCAAGCGCAAGGTCCCAAGTTTGATCCCCGGTACCAAAAAAAAACAACACACGAACTTTTAATATGGAATCTGGTTTTTACGTCACAATTGATTTTCATAATCTTATTGTATTTACTAAATTGGTGTTCATTTGCATATTTTTGCAAATCAATAAATATTCAAAGTAAGATGAATATAACTATGTGAGCGGCAAAACCAAGGTAGAACCCTCATGGCTGCTGTGACCTCTACCAGGAATGATATCTAATGTTCTACAATGGCACACCCATATACTGATGATTATAACGCCAACCTTGATGAAAGCAATGGTAATTTTATCACTGACAGTCCCGGTTTCATCTGGATTTCCTGGAGTTTAGATACACTGCTAAGCACTGTAGAGAATGGATCAGACTATTTCCAACATGTCTTGCATCCCTCTTATTAGGATATTGATGCTGAAGGCAAAACAGTATTTAAGTTTCCTCTGTAATGTGTGTCTGAAAACAATAGAAACATCACATTGCTATGGCTTCTTTTTGCATTGCTATGGCTTCTCTTGGGTTGGAAAACAGCTACCCTTTTCCCTAGACTCTCCCTCCATGGCTGCTGACCAGGGAGTGAGAACTAACAGTGTGAAAAAGCTGCAAACTGCAGGGGGAGGTTGCTCCTGCACACCTCATTAGGCCTTTAGTACATTTGACTTTGTCTTTCCCCAGCACAGTGCACATTATAATTGGAAGCAGTTGGGTACTTCCTGTTTTTCTTTGAAAGGTGTAATTGGGTAGCCAAGAAACTGTCACTTTCTGGAGATTGCCTGCTCAGCCATCTGCTGTGGAGCCTGAATTCATTGGCTATTTCTTTAAAAGGTTTGACTCATGGAACGTTCCATTTTAAAAGCGCTCACCAGTTATTTTATTTAGTTTCTCTTATTTTACAGATGAGGAAATTGATCCCAGGAACATTAAATTTCTTACACATAGACACACTATCACTGGATTATACTTCCAAGTTTGCCTGGTGTCAAGATTTAAGCTATCCTTACACAATGCTAGACTTTAACATACCCACAATACTTTCATTTTTTCCCAGTCTGACAATTTCATGAGTGTAACAGGTTAAAAGGATCCATTTAGCATTTACATATAATGCTAAACACCCCTTAGGTATAAAATGCAAGACTATTGCGAACCAGGCTGTTGTTGTAACTTCAGAACAATGTTCTTCATTTTTCACTTCACCATAGTTACCCAGTGTTGTTTTGTAACTATCATGGATGGAAGAAATGGGGCAAGGTAATTGGAGAATACAGGCAAATTTCAGTCAAACGCTCATTACTTTGGATGCTTTGCTTCTTGGAGACTAAGTCGGAGTAATAGAAAGAAATCCGGACTGAGCTAGAGTTTGAGGTGTCCATCATCTACATGGCTGACCAGCACTATAATCTCGGAACACAGTTTCACTGACTTGTTATCATTATATAATATTTCATCAAATTTCAGAGTTTTTCATAGCTTGAGTTCTAAGCAAGAAATAGGTAAGATCTTGTGAGCTCCATGTGAATTTCCTAATGGAATTTTCATCTAAAAACTCATAATATGTGGATCAGACTGTAAGAGTTAAGATTTTGTAATACTGAGTTGTAGGATCGTCTTTTGAACCATGCCTCCTGACCTCGTTCTTTCTATATACTTATTGGTCTTGTAAATCTACCTTACTCCTCCATGTAAGCCTGACTTTCTGCAAGTCTTCTTCCTACCTCAGGGCACTCAGTAGAAACATTTAGAGGTCATTTATTGCAAAATTCCAAACATGATTTTGTATTGACCTTAATTATGATGGGAAAGGTTGGAATCAAAAGTCAAAGTAAAGGTTCAAAAATTGTTCATTTATTTCTCTTTTCCTACAATCAATTTGATACCATACTAAAAAGAATGAACATGGGTGTGAGGTATAGGTGGACTTTTCCCTCTTTACACCTGAGAGGATAGGTCAGCCACTGATAGAATAACCTGATCTCAAGCTTGTGATTCTCACCCATCTTTTTCTGGGCCAGGTATCTCCAGCATATTCAGAATTCTAGAAATTCAGTTTCTGCACCTGCAGGAGCCTTGCCTACAAAATAAAATTATTTTGAGGTCAATTTTCCGCTTTGAGAGAATTCAAAGGTAACTGAGAAATATTATCATTACTTTGAGACATTTTTTTCAATAACCCCTAAGCTCCTTATAGCTCCTTTTCTACACTCTGATGCATTCTACATTGTCCTGTCATATTAAACTTCTTCTTTTTTTTTTTTTTTTTTACCCGGGATCAAAC